AGCGTAAATACGAAATGGTCGATCTGAATCGGCAGATCGCTTCCAGAATGGTCTCAATCCGGAACGAGAGTTTCGGGCGGCTCGTTCAGAACCTGGACGACCGTTCCAGACCATTCTGGAAGGTTGCCAAGGTGCTGAAGTCTCACCCCAAGCCCATTCCACCACTTAGAGTCAATGACGAACGGCTTATCACCAACGAAGAGAAGGCCAATGCAATTGGGGAGCACATTGCCCAGTCGCATTTGCTTGGCTCTACAATCCCAAGTCCACTCGAGAACCAGGTTGTGCAGTGCGTCCAGACGTTAGATGCCTCCCCTTGTGCCGTCCCTCCAGAAGAACGGATTACAGAGGAACAAATTTGCTCAGCGCTGAAACACAGTACGAACATGAAGGCTCCCGGGTTTGACGGAATATTCAACCTAGAGTTGAAAAATCTCAGCGCGAGGGTGCACTCGCTGCTGGCTGCCATCCTCAACAGATGCTTGGAGCTGCACTACTTTCCAAGCATCTGGAAGGTGGCAAAAATCATCCCGATCCGCAAACCTGGGAAAGACCCTTCACTACCGTCAAGCTACAGACCGATTAGCCTGCTCTCAGCGCTGAGCAAGCTGTTCGAAAAATTGATCCTCAGCCGACTAAACAAGTTTGTGGAGGAACATGACATTCTTCTTCCGGAACAGTTCGGGTTCCGTAAGGGGCACTCCACCAATCATCAGCTAGTGCGGGTGATGAATAACATCCGAAGTAACAAAGCTGTATCCAAGTCCACAGCCATGGCCTTGTTAGACGTCGAAAAGGCGTTTGACAATGTCTGGCACGACGGACTTATATACAAGTTTTGTAACTCCAACTTTCCACCATACCTTGTGAAAATCACCCGTAACTATCTCCAGCAAAGGTCGTTCAGGGTGTCGTTGAATAGTTCCCTTTCGGGACAATTTCCGATCCCAGCAGGTGTTCCGCAAGGGAGTCTGCTGGGACCACTGCTTTACAGCATCTACACGTCGGACATCCCTCCTCTAGGAGACGGTTGCGTGTTCTTTCTGTTTGCAGATGACACCGCGATAGCCGTCAAGGGTAGGATGCCTCGTGAAATTACGAACAAGCTCCAACGATGCCTTGACACCTTTACTGATTATGCCACCACGTGGAAAATCAAAATCAACGCCTCGAAAACCCAAGCGATCATGTTCCTTCACAGACAATCATTAAAACTTAAACCGTCTCCCTCCTGTACCGTAATAATGGATGGTACAAGGGTCGAGTGGTCCACTGATGTTACTTATCTCGGGATGTTGTTCGATGAGAAGCTCCTGTTCCGCTCGCACATAGAGAAAACCCTAGTTAAGTGCTCCGCCTTGGTTAGGTGTTTGTATCCGCTCATTTGCCGCAGATCCCGCCTCTCAAGGCAAAACAAACTGGCTGTTTACAAACAGATCATAGCCCCCGCGATCTTCTATGCCGCCCCGGTGTGGGAATCGTGCGCTCAGACCCACAGGAACAAAATCCAGGTTGCACAGAATAGAGTGTTGAGGATGATCCTAGATCGTCCATTCGACACAAGAATAGCAGACCTCCATCAAGAGGCAGAAATTCCCAAAGTAGATTCCAAAATTGATGATATGACAACTAAATTTATTCAAAAATGCAATCTTTCTGAACATGCTTTAATAAGCAATTTGTACATAGAGTAGGTTAGTTTTAAGCTGTCAATAGTAGTATTAAGTAGTTTCTCTTCAAATTCTAAAAACAAAACAAACCAATCCCACCAAGGTGGTCGACCGTGTACTAAGTCTAGGACTGATTCTGTAAAACAAATTTTGAATTTTGCCCATACCTAAAGATGAAGAAAGCAATTAAATCACTTAGTAAAAATTTATATGGTAATCGTCCAAGTTAAACTAAAATAAAGATCATTTAAACTGGAAAACTGGAAAAACATTCACTCTCTTATAGTTTTGTACATCGTAAGATACACAAGTGTTTTATTCCCACGATCTGTGGCCATTCCAATATTATTTTCGCTGTACTGGGGAACAAACTTCACAAATTTGGTGCATTCGCCTTATTTAAAGCAGCACGTATTTTTATGACTGATTCGAGTCTTTTTGTAAATCTCAATTGATATTGTATTTGCTGAAAAATGAATTGAAAAAAAGTGGAAGAACCTTCGAGATACCTACGCTAGGGAACTGCGCAAGCTGCCGGTACCTAAATCCGGTGATGCAGGAGATAAAAGCTGCCACAGCACTTGGTCATATTTTACCTGCATGCAGTTCTTGAGGCTGCAGATGAAACCCTGAAGATCAACCGGAAACCTTAAGATTCTACCCACACCAACAGCCAATGATCAGGACGATGAAATCGATTATGGCGAAGTGGAGGAAACAGAAGAATGGTTTGAAGTAGCCGTCCTGGATCTTCGGGCTCACCCTTGCAACCTTCGGCCAAAAAATCGAAAAAAAAAACTTCGGAGAGAAGCCAGCACGCTGCGCAGCTGCTGGAAATCGAAGGGAGGAAGCTTGAACTGCTTGAGAAAAAGGCTGAGAACAATCGCGATGAAGATGTTGTTTTCTTAGAAAGTTTGCTACCGCACGTGAGAAAACTGGAGGGTGCCCACAAGCTGGAACTTAGGATTATAATTCAACAAGCTGTGCTTGATTATGTGTATAGAAAGGGCCAATGCTCGCACACTGAAAGTGAGGGTGATATTTTTTTGTTATAAAAGTTTTTCAGCTTCTTTTTGAGTGTAATCAGATGTTTAAGAATATATTATAAACGAGAATGGATAATGTTATGGTTTTTAACTTTTAATCCATGACACAAATATAAACAAAACCTCCAATATTCATAAAGTACTTCTACGAATCCCTCATAAATTCTACATGCTTCTCAAAAGCTTTACGAACTTTTCAAAAGGTTCAACAATTCTCCAAAGCTAAAAGTCTTTTTTTTTCGTCATCATTAGGTATGCGTTTTGCAACATTTCTCGGAAGTTCTGGGAAGATCTTCCTGGAAAATCTGCGAAGTTCATTCAAGAACTGGAAATTCTGGAAAGTTCTTTCTGGAATTTTTGGGAAGTTCTTTCAGGAAATCAACTTCCTACAATTTCATGAAAGAACATACTAGAACTTCCCAAAACTTCCTGGCAATTCTTCCTCGAACATCCCAGAACTTCCTAGAAGAATTTCCAGGAAGTTCTAGGTAGTTCCCAGAATTTCCCAGATCTTTCTGGAAGAACTTGCAGGAACTTCATAGAACCTGGAAAAACTTACTACCCGTTAAACTTCCTAGGAAGTTCTTCTAGAATGTTCTGAATGTTCTATGAAGTTCCTGCAAGTTCTTCCAGAAAGATCTGGGAAATTCTTCCAGGAAGTTTGGTGTATGGACAATGGACCTTTACCTTTTTGTTATTTTCAAGGAAATCTTCTCCCTCTGCCTGAATACTCAGATATCCTTCCTTATCAATAATTACATCATGCAAAACGTGATTTCTGCAAATTCTGGATCCGTTTCGATGGGTTTCCAAAGCAACCTCCATTTTGCATTAATCGCTCCAAATGCACACTCGACGGACTTACTAGCCCTAGATAGTCTCGAATTGAAATATTTTTCATCTGCTGTCCCATCTCTTTGTGAATATGACCTTGAAACATGTTGTAGAAGCGGATAAGCCTCATCGGCAAGAAAAACATACGCCTTGAAGCACAATCGAAAAATAATGTTTGTAGTTGTAGAACATCGTCCCCGAGTTAGAGGGACATCGAAATCGAATGTGTTTTCCATCGATACTCCCAATACAATTGGGAAAGGTCCACATTTCCCAATAGTCCTGCGCAATCTGTTTAAAACACTGCTCGGTCGTTGGTGGTATGTGTATCGGTTGGAGTGTTTCCCATAGTGCAAGGCAAGTTTCTTTCACAATTTCCGCAGCCGTCGATCGACCGATGCGAAATGAATACGACAAGGCATAAAACGATACACCTGTAGCAAAGAACCTACAAGTATAATCAAGATGCAAAAGATTGGAAGGATACCAATATTTTCTTGTTTACCTGAGTGTGATAATCAATTTTTCTCTAGGAAGTATCGGTTGCCGCACAAAGTTTGTCCACTGCTTAGTAAGACGTTCTTCAATGAGTTCCAGTACCTAGTGGAACGTTTCAATCTTCATCCGGGTATAGTTCGGAAATTTATCCGGCTGTTTCATCAAGTCTGGATATAAATGATGATATTCTCCGTATATTTGCCGTTTCCGGTTGATTGGGTTTGGGGTACACTCTCGATCATCTTCAAAAAAATATCGCAATATTCTTCATCAGAATCCTGATTGAAATCCATTTTTGTACAATTTCAATTAACTTGTAAACTGAAGTGCGTTGGCAATGACATTGACATATGAAGACATCCAATGAGCGGTAAACAGGTGAAGCCATGTGAATTCGCCGTCTCGCTCATTCTTTCACTCTATTAATCGTTGACGGAATGTGACGTCAAGCTCCATCACCCATGTGAACAGTGGGAGAAGGGAAGCAACGACAAATTCTCTGGGCCACTCCTGTTTGCATCTCATTGCACGACATCGCCTAGTTTGAGAGTTAGAAAGCTTCCAGAATATTTCCAGCAATTTTTCCCTATAATAACCATGATTAGTTGAGGAACATTCAAGCGTTGCGCGCTAGAATTTCCCTAAATTAATGCAGGCATTAACCGAAAAATAAATTTTCCCGGTAACCAATTTCCAATTAAACCATCATCAACTATCGATCCGGTTTCCGTGCGATTGTAAAACCAACAAAAAGCAAGACTTTTACCATAGCCCTTCCAACCAACCCATTTGCATATATTTCGGTAAAGGATCCGGAAACCCATTTTCCGGAAAATCCTGGAAAAGACAAGTTTGACCAGTCCTTCGCTTCCTTCCCTTCCTTCGCCACACATTCAATAAGATAAATAACACGTTTCACTGAATAACAGTAGAAATTATAATGATTTCTTACCTTTTCTCTCCGAACCTTTGAATTGATTCTCTACCGCTAATGGTTTTTCTGATTCTGCCTGGTTCTCTGCTGCTGAGTTTCTTCCCCGATGCGTAGCACTGCTGAAGGTTAGGAAATTTCGCAATTAATCATCCATTTTAAAGAGTGCTGCTTCAATCTGTTGCAATTTTTCCCGGTGATTCTTCTCAACGGTAAATGTGAAGGGACGCTTGAATCGAAAAGATTACACACACACACCCACCCATACAGGCAGATACATAATAAGCACGATGACATTACTGCGTCGAGAAGGAAACCCAAGCAGGCGGTGGATACCGATCTTGATGGGTTTCATATTTTCTGCAGGGTAGCGCGAAATTTATGCTTTGATCTCTATGCACGCTACTGTTCCATAAAGGATGATGACACAAATTTTATTCGTGGCGTTGCTTATAGGGGTGGAAAACGAATGCGAACAGTAGGGATGCTCAGCAAAAATTATTTTGGCAGAACAGAATTTTGACGTTTGGATTTGGTCATTACTCGCGTAACAATTGAAAACGGCTTTTGTAAACAAAAGTTATAAGGGACCTTTACACGCGAACCAACTACAACATCGGGTAGGAGAAATGCTCCCCTTTCCGATAGTGGTATGTTACGTCTGATTAGACGTTCGAAACGACTGAGACCTACTGAGACGAGCTAAGCCAGATGTCAAAATTTTAATAGGAGCATCCCCCCTTCAAGTTTTAGCGTGTCCAGATTTACGGCACTTAACTACTCGTACAAACAAAAAACAACGTGCAGCCAGGTGTCACATCCTTGCGCACCAGGGTCCAGCTCTAATCCGTCGCAATTTAATTATCATAATCATTCCCGCTTCTTCTTGGCGCGTGCACACGCTCTTTACATCAACGTTTCTTCGTCACCAGGGTTGCTTCCACTCACTTCGCTACACAGTTCACTCTGAGTGAGTGCTCACGAATCATAAAATCGCTGATATGGCTCACTGAAAGCGAAATTGACTGGTTTAATGTGTCAAACACATGCTTCATAAGGGGCTGTTCATAAACTGCGTAGGCCATGTTTGATAGATTAGCGTAGACAATCGTACATACATTTTTTTTAGAAATTTGCATGGACCGTAGACATTTGCCAAATCCACCCTCCTCCCGCCCCCTAAAGTGTATACGTGGTTTATGAACAGCCTCTAACCTCTTCTTGTAACTAACAAGTACAAGATATCATTACAATATCCAATGATTTAATAATTTCGAAAAAAAAACATTATTTATAGCGAAGTGAAAGCAACCCTGTAGCAATCACTAATGTGCCGCGTGCATACTCTTCATTGTCACAAAAAAAAACTTTCCCATCCCGTCTCTTCGTCGACACATCCGCATCTAGTAGTAAGCAGAGCACATCAATTTGCATAAATTCAGGTATCGAACCTCGCAGTCGCGTTATTTTTTTTTTTTACGGACTTCGCTTCTGTCTTTGTTTTTCTCCAAGCTGACAAAGCACAACCAGACATCCCCAGAAATCAAGGACGAGCCTCCCAAACTGGGGAAAACGAAACATGCTGCCATTGCCAGCATCCCTGTCCGCACACCCGTAATCGAGTCTCATCGGCACCTGTTGCTTTTATCACAGAAACCGCACTCACTCACGAGAAGGGGTTGCAAATTTGAATACCCTACCAACTAACTAAGTGGGCCTTGCTTACACTTTGCGTGGCCTACCTGATGGATCACAGCGCAACTAATCGTTCTAATAAATTCGGCACCAAGCAGTCTGGCTTGGCTCTTTTTTTTTCTCTCCGGGGAAAGCACCACGTACCTATTTAGCTCCTAGCTGTTTCGCCGCGGCTATTAGGATGCCAAATGCCAAACACACTTTTACGACCGTACCGAATCGCTGCCCGACTGCTACTGAACTGATAAGACGCTCCCGTTAACGTTCATATGATGGTCGTAAATTCGGTCCAACACGGCAGCACGCTTCAACTCAGTTCGGGTCCGCTTGCTTCCCGTCTCGTTCGCACACTCTGTTGCCATTGCTGCACGGGGGAGGGGGTGGTGAAAATCGCTTTACTTTCTTCGGGGTGGGTGGTTGATTGGCAAGCTTTTGGGTGGATAAATCTGAAGCTTGCAGGGACGATCAGATCGACTGAAAATTTCGTCAAAAGCGGATTTACTCAAAAGTGAGTTGAAATTTCCGGGCAAATGTCGTGGAAACCAGGAAAAACTTCTCGAATGTCGGGAAAATCGGGTACACTAATAAACTGATTGAAACCTCTATCGATTTTCCTCATATACGAAAAGTTTTTCCTAGAAAAGCCTGGAAAACTCGACCCACTTTTGACGAAATTGAGTCGACTCGTGCAGTGGTGAATTACGCCGAGGTTGTGGTGAGCTTTAGTAACGAAGCTTTCATGCGACACGCGAAATTCAGGAGTAGGGATGTCGGACTACTTTTTGATTAATCGAACTAATCGATCATCAATGAAAATATATCCTGATTTATCTCATACCAATCCTATAAAGTCTGTTCCATTTAGAATTTGGCCGCATAAAATAGGTTCTTTCTCCAAGGGGAAATGAAGTACAAAAACGCTAAAGGTATCATTTTGTACGATTTTTATTTAGTTTTAAGGGAAGAATACAACAAAAATTATTCGTCAGCTTTTCGGATGAATTTTCCAATTTTTCGCGGAATACTTCTCATCATATCTTGCACAGTAGTACCAACAATCAATACGAAACTAACGATTTTAAATTGGCTCACTACTTGACTATAGCCTATTGGTCCCAAGCAAATCGATTAACGTACTCCATTCTAGTATAAATTCCAGTACTACACTATGTTTGTTTTGATTTTTTTTTTTTTTTTTGCTTTATTAGAGAGATTTTTAGCCTTGGGCTGGTTCATCTCTATTTGTTTTGATTCGCTATGAAAGTTTGACAGATAAAATGAGGGGTTAGTGGATTTTCTTATGTTTCGAGGGGTGAATCGATTAGCTTGGGACCGAAGAGATTACTAGAGCTGAGCCATAAAGTTGAGCAAGTTCTTTAGGGACCTTCTAGTCTTAGAGTTACCTCTATGGTGGTACTGTTCTCCAAATCAGATGGTGTTTTGATTGTTTTGCCACATTTCTTCAATTTGCGCTTGATAATTGCCCAAAATTTTTCAATGGGGCGAAAATCTGGACAATTTGGTGGACTGATACTGCTTATACCATTCTATGACATCGCGACTGTAATGGCAGCTGGCTAAGTCAGGCCAGAACTTTACGGAACCTTCGTGTGATTGAATGAATGGCAAAATTATGATCTGGAGACACTCCTCCTTGTAAAGTTGTCCATTCATAGTCGCTCCAGTGATGAAAACCTTTGTTTTCTTTCCACAACTGCAGATTCCTTGCCAAATCATCAACTTGCGAGCGAATTTATCTGCAAAGACAAATTTGAATTTATCCGGAGGGGGCTACGTAAAATTTTTGGCCATGGAATTGCCCAAAGACCATTTTTAAGTAAGTTTTATCGTCCATCAAAATAAATCCGTTATGCTTGGTCAGAACTTGCTCGTACAGCTTTCTTGCACGGTTTTTGCCAACCAGGTTTTGTTTCAGCGTCCTGTTGGGATGTTTTCTGGCATGGTACGACTGGAAACCTTCTCGCATACAGATTTGTCGAACTTTACTGTGTGCCGCACTGAACCTTTTCGCCAAATCACAACCGGAGATCCCAGGATTCTTGTGGACTGCCCTTCCCAAGTAGCATTGCTAGTTTTATAGAGGTTTTATAGCATTCTACAAGTCTGAATCGTGGTCTACAGAACCCTTATAAAACCAAAATTGTTACTTGCGTTATGACCTTCGCTCGTAGTTTTCGGTCATATGTTCCACTTCTACGTTTGTTTTGTTTAGCACGATCCAACGTTAGTGTTTCCCGGTAAGCACGGTATTTACAGTCGATTTTGGAAATTTGAGAGCCTTTGCAATCATTCCTCCTGACCACGTTGGATTTTGCACGAGAGTTTGCAGAATTTTGACGTTGGATAACGTCTTTCGGCAACATACGGGGGTACAAAATTGAAAACAGTCATTTTGGATGCGTTACGAAAAATTAAAAGATTTTGAACGATAATAACTCAACCGTCTCTCGATAGATTTATGAGATAATGGCATCAATCGATTGGAAATATTTCTAGCAATTTGCTGAATGTTTCAAAACTATTGATTTCATTCTGTAAACTATTGAAAAATGGTAAAAAGTAAACCATTGTCTAAAGATGGTGAAAATCGATTGATTTTTTTATATTCTTATACTTTCTCCAACCGAGACATCAGATGCGAGTATCTGACACCTCTGATATTTTCTGTTCTACTATATAAGCGTCCAACAAGGTCGCCCGTTCCATCATTGTCTATCCGATCGTCGACCCAACAGCAAAGCAGCAGTACCAGAGCAGCGGAAGCAGAGCAGCGGCAGCAGAGCCTGGGGGCGAAAGGGCAACTACGCCGAGTGCGTTGGTGCCAGTGCTCCGGTATACTGAGCCGCCTTCATGGAATGCCCAGCTGCTGCAGTTCTCAGTCGGTCGTATTCACCGTCTGCTCCGCAAGGGCCACAACATTATCAAGAAAGAGTTTAACGATTAATTTTCTAATGCCTTTACGACACTTGAATATCGAAAGTTGAATCTTCGCAGAGCCATATTTTATCTCGAAAAATAATTTTAAAATTCTTAACAATGGATGATGCTACGAGAATCTTGAAAACATAATAAAATTTACTTAGAAAGTAGCATAAAATATATGTTTTTTTCTAGTGGATTGGGCAAAGACCTTTTCACTTTGATGCTACATGAAAATAAAGTGAAATTTATTTCCAAATCATATACCGGACCCGCTGTGTTAGTTTTCAAAATCTCGAAAACAAACCCCCGTACACGTTCTACTTCGTTACTTAATCTGGACTAGAACGGAACGAGCGAATTAAAATTTTAAAAGTTCACTACAACTCTCTTGAATTATTGTGGTGGCCCT